TATGAAAACAATATGACTCCCGCTTACGCTTCACATGCGGGGTCATAATAAAACACCTACAACTTTTATACCAACTACCTGAAAATGAATCTGTGCTTCAACGGGATGCCACCTCTCCTGGGTTTTTCAGAGGCAGAGAGCAACAGGCCCCATCAGACAGGCTGACGGAGCAGAGCTGAAACTAATATCACGCTGACAGCCTCTGAAGTCGTGTGAGATGATGTGTTTATGGTTTGTCTGTATTTCCATCAAAATGACAGACTCGAGCAAGGTTTGCATAAAAGCTAGCATGCATTAGCCCGTGTTTGCCGGATGAGGAGTATGTTTTCGTTTTCTTTTGTTAAAAAAATATACCTCTCCTCTCAACTGAGCCTCCCTGAGATGAAGGAGAGGAGGAGGAGGAGGAGGAGGAGGAAGTTCCCTGCAGCATGGCATCGAGAGAAAGCTCCGAGCGCCTCAGGTCGGGATTACTGAAACAAGAAGAAAACATCTTCTTAGAAGCATATGGTGCCATAAAGAGGGTTAGTGAAGTTTTGCAGGTATTTCAAATCAATTCAACTTAAAGATAAACTGTGTTTGTTTTCAAATACAGGAATAATAAAACAGCAGCAGCTCAGTCTTACCTGGACCGAATGTAATGAGAACCTGTGTGATGGGCCGAACCAAAGCCTCCGTTAGGGGAGTTCTTCCTGATGAGGGCAGGAGAAATAGAAATAGTCCTCTGAGGGATCTAGGTCATGAAAAGAAATCATGCCAAATGGATCAAATCTCCAAGTTTTTATTTTTAAATCTGCAATCCAGGTACTTAATCCACGATTAGTTGTAACATTAGACTTTATTTGATAAACATCTGTTTTAAATATAAAATAAAGACTGTAAAAATACTGTAGGCTGTTTAGTTTTTATAATTTTTAAAAATATATTTGAACACGGACAGAGCCATTTTATTTACACACAAAGCATTCTGGGTAAATGATGACGTGGATAGGTCCTAGGTGTGAGCGAGCTATATCCACCCTGAAGGTTAATCTTGGACAATATCTGATGATCGACTCTTTTAAATGAAACCAGAGAGCGTTGACAGAGAGAAGTGTGAGGACAACAGAGCTGCTTCATGGAAGAAGAACCACAGCTTAGCCCAGTGGCTCCCAAACCTTTTCTGATGGGCCCCCCTTTGGTTTATAAAAATAATTTCATGCCCCACCACCACAATCACACACTCACACACGTACACTCTCCAACCACATACACAGGTATTTTGTTTTTAAACTCATTTCAGTGTATTTCTCACCATAAAATGTTCTTTAACATTTGAACTAATGAAAGACAACTGAAAAAAATAGATTGCAATAAATTACAACCTCTTAAAAAACATCTTAACAGTAATTATTTAAGTGTAATTTTTTTTTACTTTGTGAAAATATTCAACATTGCTTCAATGAAACTTTAAAAAGCATTTCTGTGCAAAGTGGGTTTTTAAACATGAACAACACCCTGACAGGAAAAAAATAAAAGTTTGTTGATTAAAAATAAATCTCCATCAAATATCTGTCCAGACCAACAACGTCTGAGCATTCCCCCCTCCACCTCCCGTCAATTCAGTCAAGCTGCGCCCCACCTGCAATGGCACTGCACCCCCCCAGGGGGCGCGCCCCACACTTTGGGAACCACTGGCTTAGCCTGTTAGCCTTCACGCTAGCGCTGACGCTATATTGCCTTATATGTATTAGCTCGGGGCTAGCACAACAAACAAGCTAAACTGAGGTCCTCCATCCATATTTTCAGTTACAGACTGAGTCATTTTTGCGTTCCCCTCTCTGTCATGTGGATGGAGGACCTCAGTGATGAGAGGAGAATGTGTAGCGCTGAGCTAATACATATATATGTTGATAGCACTGGGGCTAACACTAAAGCTAACAGTCTAAGCTGAGGTTCTTCTTCCATGAAGCAGCTCTGTTGTCCTCCATCCATATTTTCAGTTCCAGGCTGAGTCATTTCTACCTTCTCCTCTCTGTCAACGCTCTCTGGTTTCATTTAAAAGAGTCGATCATCAGATATTGTCCAAGATTAACCTTCAGGGTGGATATAGCTCGCTAGCAGCCTCGCACCGATGACCTAGTTGATGTCATCATTTACCCAGAATGCTTTGCGTGTAAATAAAATTGCCCCATCTGTGTAATATATTTTTAAACTTTTAGTTTAAAAATGATAAAAACCAAACAGGCTACAGTATTTTTACAGTCTTTGGGCGGCTGTGGTAGAGTGGTTAGGGAAGTCGTCCTGGAACCGGAAGGTCGCCGGTTTTATCCCCGTCCAGTCTACAAAGTCGTTGTGTCCTTGGGCAAGACACCTTACCCGCCTTGACTACTGATGGTGGTCAGAGGGTCCGGTGGCGCCTGTGTATGGCAGCCTCACCTCTGTCAGTGTGCCCCAGGGCAGCTGTGGCTACAATTGTAGTTTACCATCATCAGTGTGTGAATGTGAGTGTGCATGGGTGAATGTCTGTAGTGTGAAGCGCTTCGAGTGTCCTGGATGGATAGAAAGGCGCTATATAAGTACAGTCCATTTACCATTTATTTTACAGTTAAAATAAATGTTTATTAAATAAAGTCTAATGTTACAACTAATCGAGGATCCCTTTAAACACAAACTCTTACAACATTTAACTGCTCTGCAATATAAAAAACATTACCATCTTAATGAAAATAAATGAATAAAAATTTTGAATTTCAGTCCTTCATCACCAACCTTGGGTGGGACGTCGTCCTCTCTAAGCCAAGCAGTCCTGTCCCGATCCCGTTCCTCCCTATCTGTGATCCTCAGTGATGGTCCCGGGACGTCTGCAGTGGGGTCCGAGTTCTGACGGGGCATCTCGGGCTTTGGCGGGGCCACGCCCTCGCTCAGTCGTGAGCACGTCTGGTCCTGCTGGAACTGAGAACCCAACATGGAGCCGGAGTGGATTTTAACGGGAATGAGATGAGCCATCTGAGGAATGGAAAATATAAAATGGAGTGAGGAAGATAGGGGCTTGATAAAGACAAAAAAAACATTTAAAAGGAAGGGGGGTGGACTTTAGCTTGGAAAAGACAGAAATAGGGTAAATACGTGACGGGACAAAGATAATGTTGGTCAATAAGGAAGACCGAACACAAAAATTAGAGCTTGATTTTATGTGGGACTTGCAAAGCGTATGAGAAAAACACAAACAAATTCCACACGCTTGCTTTTGCTTGAGCCTATCCAGTTGCACACACACCTGTGGCTCGATGGGACGGTGGACGGGAGGGGTGCGTGCTGCCTGCAAGCCTCCGTTACTGAAGGACTCAGAGCGGGGAGGGAGGGAGGGATCAGAGATGCGGTTGGACGCGTGGTGCTGTGGCGCCGGCGAGCTTTGCCGATTCATCTTGGATCGCTCCTCCACCTGAGGCAGGCCACATACTTCTGTCACTCACAGCACATGACACATGCAGCCACCACGCTTTCACCTGCCCTGACTCCCAATTCCTCATGCAGTTCAATGAGCCATGAGACAATTTTAAAACCCTCACTCGTGTGGGACAACAACAACCACTTTTTGTTCACTTTGTCAGCTGGATTTTCTGGTTCGTGTCTTAAAACACTCCCTGGAAACCCTTAATCTCTTGTTGTAACTCGTTAGAAATGCCTCGAGCTGAAACGGCACCGAACAATGTCAACTGCCAAGGTGACTGTGCCGATGTAGCACACGTCAGCTTGGTTCAGTTTCCATTGTCATCTGCTTTATTTTCCTCCACCTACTTGGGTTTTGTCGTGTGTCCCACAATGAGCTGAGGAGTAAAACTGTCTCACAGCAGCAGAAGAAAGTCAATGAATGATTCTCAGTCTTTAGAAAGTATCAAACATTTGGAATTCAGAACCGTTTATCACTCGTGCGCATACAAATTTAAAATGTCTGTGTGGAAAAAGGCAGAAAGCTCTTCTTGACGCTGAAATTTGATTATCAGGTTATCTGTTGCGCAACAAGAGAAGGCTACAAGAAAAGCTCCTATCTGCCAAAATCACATAAAACAATTTGCTGAACAGCAGCTAGAAGGCTAGTTTAAAAAGCCTCCAGGTGAACACGCAAATACAGTGAATTCTATCCCATGTGGAGGACTTATGTAATTTCACAAGAGATCATAATCTAGTAAAATTACTCAATTTTAAGACCTGGGTCAAAGGAACTATGTCAAAAGTGTGTCATTCCTCTAGCTGGTTTTAGAAACTACAAAGAATCAACTTCAAGTTTACTTTGGCACCGACAGTGATAGAAACGTTTCCAAACACTTTGTTCTCAAAAAGCTAATGTAGTCATGAATTCAGACAATTTGCAAAGAAACAATGAGAAAGAAGTCAGGTGGTTTAGAAGTACTGCAATTACAGTTGAGGTTGGTAAATGCAGTGTGAGGTTAAGGTTAGGATAAACAACAACAGACCTGGAAGAAAGACATTACTGTTAGTAGAGTCCTTCTACAAAGGAAATAAGCTTTTGAGTCTTGCTTAATAAATGGCGGCATGTTCTGGTTTGTCAGCAGTTTACCACCCAAAAACCTTTTTCCTCTATGAAAGAATTAAAGATGTTAAGTATTATTTATGAAGAAACCCCATAAAAACCAAAGAGAGAGAACAGATGGACCTAAATAAGAGATCTTCCGAGGATTCCGTTTTGTAGATGAAATCCACCACCAACTGGCTTGCACCAACCACCAAAAAAGAATCAGATTAGGTTGATGACTGACCTAAAAGCAAATTGCTGGGCTGGGTGGGCTCCTCGGCGTCATTGTACCAGGTGTGTATGGGGATGAGCTCCTCATGGGGCACCATAAGGGGATTGGTTATAATGGTATACTGGGCCATGCGAGGGTGTGAAACTAGCAAAATTTGCGAAAATAGATCCCAAAATACAAATAGATTCCCAAATAAATGTACCTAAACTTGGAACACAAATAAAAGTATTTACAGCATGAAATAATGTCTTTTTTTGGTCTGTTATTTACACCTCATTTTCTATATTTTATTCAATTTATGTGTGTGTGTGTGTGTGTGTGTGTGTGTGTGTGTGTGTGTGTGTGTGTGTGTGTGTGTGTGTGTGTGTGAGTG